GAGGCTTAAGATTGGCGGTGTTATCCCTTTTGAGACGGAGGAGGGTTGCAGAATTTCGAGTGAACGTCTAAGAAGCCATCAAGACTTTAGAGAGAATTAGAATAGATGTAAAGGCAGAAGGACTCTGAAAATTGCCCTTATGAAGAGAGCTGGAGGAGATGCTCTGGAAATCTTCTCATAACAAATAATAAACTAACACATAAGCTTAGAAAGACAGGATCTCACAAAGTATATTGTATTGGGTTTTTAGTTTAGTGTGGGTTACTTTTCTTTCTCCTTAGTTGTAGTTCCCCTTCCCTTATTTTCTTTGTAGTTTATGTAGTACTATTAAAAAAATAAAAAATCCCCCCGGGGTCTTAAAAAAAAAAAGATCTCCCCCATGATGCTCAAGGAGTTACCTAAGGTACTCTCCTTTAAGTGCCAGCCCAAAGCATTTTGTTTCTATCTTTTAAAGCTAGTTTTGTGGATCATTTCTAGACTGAGGACTATCTTTTTAAGCTGCTGCATGTTCTATATTTTCATGTTGTAATTTACTTGAGCTGCTTTGAGGAAATCTCTGGAGAGATTACTACATTTTATAAATAAATAATAGTTTGTGAAAGGACTGGTTTTTCTGCTGAGAAACTCTCACAAGGGCTACAGCCACCTTGAGCCAAGGGGAAAGAGAGGGCATAAATACTGAACTCCTTGCCACCCTGGCTGTGATGTAAATTTGCCCCCTCCCCCGCCCAGGGCTGCTTTTAAACATTAAAGAATATATGACCCAATCACAGATCTCCATTGCGTCATGTAGTTTGACTTTTGATGTAGCAGAAGGACCTGTGCAGCACAATTGAGGGTAATATTTACTAAGCCCTTAAAAGTGTTCTGTAATTCTCATTGCTAACCCTATCCAGTAAGCGCCTGGAAGATATGAAAGAAAGCTATGAAGAGAAACTGGAGAGTAAATTTGAAATGTACAAGGAGGCTATAAAGAAGCATGCATATATGTGTGCAATGGAGCAAATTGAAGAGCACTATGTTCCAGTTGAAGAGTTCATAGCTGAACAAGCAAAAGTTGAGGTACGTCTTCTGAGAAAACTATTTGTGCTGACTTAGACCAGTGCAGATATTGGCATTTTAAAATCGTATCCAAGAATTCTATTAAAAGGTGGGAGATGGAAGCTGTGAGATTTTTTTCCCAAGTTGTCAATCTTGGCAGTTTTGACTCTTCCTGTATTTGAATTGCCTGTGCTGCATGAATACATTGACTGATGTCACCTAAGACTGATTGTCCAGCAGCATGAGCTGGATTCTACCAAGAAGGCTTTAGAGATGTGAAAAAGCTTTAAATAACTTTTAGTACAGAAGTCCTATTTAGACTGGCACAAAATTAAAATACTTTGCGCAGTATTTTTATTAAGGAAATAATAAAGTTAAAGACAATTGGACTACTGGCTATGAGGTTAGCATAATTTTTACAGGTTTTTCTTGGCATAGGAGGGAGAAATGCTTCAGGTAAGAGGCTGAAACTATCTTGGTGTTATCAAAGAATATTGATAAGATGTATAGACTCTCAAAGCCTATGTCATTGTTCAAGGATCGAGAGATGAAAATACAGCAGCTGAAACTAAAGTTTGGAGAGTCCAATGCCTTTACTTTGGAAAGTCCTTATTCAGATACCACAGAGGGGGAAATGAATCCGGGTAAGACAATATTTTACATTTGTTGTTTCTACTATTCTCCAACATCTGGTACAAATATTCTTAACCTTTTTATTACAGATGTTAAGTACAAGATGATGATGCAGAGAGCTTCAGATACCTTGTCAAGGCAGTGTGAGGAGAAAGATGAGGTAACTTTCCTTGTTATTACCAACAGTCACTTGGACTTTGTGGATTGTATCCAATGAGCCGTAAGTAGAACATTTTAGCATAATATTTTTTTTTGGGGGGGGGGAGCTCTGAGCAAGTGAACAAAAGTTGCCACTCCTCAACTGGTTAATACCTAGCCAGCAGAGGTACTGTTTTGTTGAATGCATCCCTATTATCTGTAATTGCTAGTTGTCAAGCATAGTAACCAAATGGAAGGTAGAAGTGGAGTTTATTAAGTTGCACATAAAACTGCAAATATGTGGAAGATTTTATACTGTAGTCTTTCAAATGACATATCCTATTACAAGATATACCTATTAGGGATATTGGGCTATTAGGGAAGGGCTAGAATCCTATTTTCCCCACCTATCAGATTTGATATTATTTTATTAGTTAAAATATTATAAATAGTAGTTAATACTATTCCTTTTAAGAGGGTTGTTCCATATCCATTTCTCCTTCACATTTACAATGTTTTAATAAGAATAATCATCTTGTTTTGCAGTTAATCAAATCGCTGAAGCTGAAAATGCAAAAATTAAATGAAATGTTACAAGAGGCCAATGATGTCTATAAAAAAACGGTTGAGGAGAATTATAGACTGAAGCAAGTGATCATGTTCAAGGTTGGTCATGTTTCTCTTAAAGCTGCATTTCAACATTTGTGTACTGTGCTTGACTAGTTCTAATTCTGCTTGTAACTGCATTATATTTCTTAGCATTAGCATCACAAAGGAACAGAAAGTGGTGACATACTAAATTGACCAGGCTAGTAAAATACGATTTAGCCACATAACCTAGGTTCCCTTTAAGCTGCGCCAGGCTGCACCAATTTACCCCGGCCAGCGCAGCAATTTTTACCGCAGTGCAGGAGAAGGGAGGGTTCCCTTTCAAATTGGTCTGCCTTCCAAGTTGGCCTTCCAATTTTCTGCCTTTCAAGCCCCACCCCCAGAAGCCTTCAGTGGGGCTGGGGAGCAGCAACCAGCACATGCTCACCCCCGCCACCGCCACCAGCACGAGTCAGAGTAAGTTAGGGTGGTGGGGATTGATTGGGGGAGGGGAGTTCCCTTGGCTTGCTCGGGTTTCCTTTTTTTAAAAAAACCATTTATTTTCAAATTTTTACAATACAAGTTATATCATACACAGTACATATCAGTTTTCGGAGTTTCTCTAAACGTTTGATTCAAACCATTTATCTAATTTTTTCCATCTTTTTTTAAACAAGTCTTCATCTTTTGCCAACATTATCATATTTAATTTGTCCATCTCTCTTATTTCCATAATTCCAAGCAAGCCGGCTCCTGGAGGGGAGGCAGGGTGGTTTAAACCGCCTTCCTTTCCCTTGGCTTGCTCGGGTTTCCCCCGGCTGCAGGGAGGTCGAGCAAGCCAGCTCCTGGAGGGGAGGCAGGGAGGTTTAAACCGCCTTCTCTTTCCTTGCTCGGGTTTCCCGCAGCTGCAGGGAGCCTTCTAGGTCAGAAAGGGAAGAGTATGACCACTAAGGATAGGGTTTTGTAAGTCATAGCTTATGGCACCCAACAACACCTTGTTGGTCCCAAGCCATACAGGGCTTTAAAGGTCAATACCAGCACCTCAAATTGAGCATGGAAGGAAACTGGAAGCCAGTGTAGGTGGAATAAGACTGGAGTAATATGGTCTCTATGACCCACTCCACTCAACACTCTGGCTGCAGCATTCTGTACCAACTATACTTTCTGGACAGTCCACAAATGCAGCCCCACATAGAACACATTGCAGTAATCTAATCTAGATGTGACCAGGGCAGGACAGATTTCTGTACAGGAAGGGTCACAGCTGGCTCAGCAACTGAAACTGGTGAAAGGCACCCTGGCCACTGCTGCCACCTGTTTATCCAGCAGGAGGCCTCGGTCCAAGACCACCCCCAAGCTATGAACCTGCCCCATCAAGGGGAGTGCAACCTCTTCCAGAGCAGGGTATGACCCATTTCCTGAGTCAGACTTTCCTCCCACTGATAGTACCACTGTTTTGTCAGGATTACGCTTTATCTTGTTAATCTTCATCCATTCCAAAACTGCCTCCAGGCACCGCTTTGTAGTTTCCACAGCCTCCCTAGGATCTACTGGTAGCGCAAGATAGAACTGAGTGTCAGCTGCATATTGGTGGCAATTCAGACTAAATCGTCGGATGACCTCTCCCATTGGCTTTCCATATATGTCCCTCTTTCAACAAGATGGAACCTTGGGGAACCCCATAGGCCAAGGGGGCAGAACAGCAGTCCCTCAGCACCATACTCTACCCTCAAGGCAGGACCAGAACCACCACAGAACAATGCCTCCCAATCCAGTCCCGAAAGGCTATCCAGAGGGTTACCATGATTAATGGTATCCAAAGCTACTGAGAGGTCCAGGAGAATTAATAGGGTCTCACTCCCCCTGGCCATCTCCAAGTTCATGTCATCCATCAGGGCAACCAAGGCCATTTCAGTCCCATAACAAAGCTTGAAACCAGATGGAATGGATCTAAGCAATCCACTTCATTCCAGAATCTCTGAAGTTGGCCAGCCACCACTTGTTCTAGGGCTTTTCTGCATGGCAAAAAGCTTTCCCCCCCCCCCCCCAACTGATTGGTTCTGGTGCCATACTGTTTCAGTTTATCCCAATTTCCACATGAATTTTTGTGCCTTTAGTTTTCATGTTATGCCCCCCTCAGTTTTTTTCAGCTCTTTTAAGACCACTTGTATCCTGATGTTTTTCTGGAAGCCAATTTTGAGTTGACTTTCTTCTAGTGTGTAATGTGCATTTTTTCCAGCCACCTCCAGCTCACTTTTCAATTATTGGATGCTTGTCATCACTAAACCAGTCTTGCTCCCCCCCCCAAGACAAGTGATTTCATTTTTTAAAAAGGCCCTAAAATATTGATATAATGCTGTAATGTTGTAATAATAGTTTGAGGGTTCTCTAAATTCCCAGCTTTTTCATTAAAAAGTAATTCTTCAGTCATTTCCTTTGTGGAGATTTGCCTTGTACTTATATCTCTGTGAGGGAAGAGACTAGGGACTTATTTTTTTAATGAAAGCTTGGAAATTCAGTTAACCTGATTAAACTATTGTTACAACAATGCAGCAGTATATCAGTATTTCAGGGCCTTTAAAAAAATTAAGAGAAGGTGCTGTGATACCACAGATGACACCAATGAAGACAGCACCCTCCCTTGAAAATTATTTAAGCCATGTGCAGAAGAAAATAAACTGACTTGACAACTATAAAAATGCACAGGGGGGCAGACATGCAGAAGAACCCTGCCCAAACTAATTCCAGTGCTTGTGGAATGACTCCCAAGAAAATCAGGAGTAACTCAAGCATGTGGAAAAGGTCTGGGATAATGTTAAGACTTTGTTATTGCCAAGGCATTTACTGTATTTACTATTTGTTGAGGTATAAGACTTGTGTACTTACCTTTGATTGTTTTTGTTTTACTGTTACTATGTCCACTGTTTAATTCTTCATATATGCTTGTTGTTGCTACTCTGTGGTCAGTAGTCTGTTTAATATTACTTTTTTTACTTGACTGTGGCTACTGGATTTGATTTTATTTTCTGCTGCTCAGTAGTGGCTTTTTTACTATGTATGGCTTAGGTCAGACATCATGGGGAAACCATGATTTTATTATTTTCTGAAACTGGAATTTAGCTTTCAGACAATCATTCAAACCGTAGTTTGCATTTGTTGGTTTTATCACTTTGTATCCTGGAAGGGTATCACCAGAGAACAGGTCAGGTTTAAACCAACATATCTGCGTCAGAGATCACATTATACCACATCAGAGTTGAGAGATCACATTAAACCACAGTTAACATCAACTGTGGTTAATAAATGAACTTCCTGGCAGAGTGGAGTGTCCTGGATTCAGACAATCACACTAACCAGTTTTCCATGAAGTCTGAATTGAGCCACTGTTGGAATGGACTTTACCAACCTCTCTGTCTACCCCTTTTACTTTTGTAACCTTGCCAGTTTCTTCCTCCTCACTCCAGCCTCATGTGATCTCCCCCCGCCCCCGTGCTGGTTACCAGATCTCCATCATTGCTTTTAAGAAGAAGGTAAAGACAGAAAATGACTCTGTTCAACTAGCAGAATGCTTCTGGCATCCTAGTTTGGTGTCGTGGTTAAGTGTGCGGATTCTAATCTGGAAGAACCGGGTTTGATTCCCCACTCCTCCACTTGCACCTGCTGGATGACCTTGGGCAAACCATAGTTCTGGCACAGCTGTTCTTGAAAAAGAGCAGTCTCTGTCAGAGCTATCTCAGCCCCACCTCCCTCACAGTGTCTGTTGTGGGGTGGTGAAGGGAAAAGAGTTGTAAGCCGCTCTGAGACTCCTTTGTGTAGTGAAAGGCGAGGTATAAATCCAATCTCCTCCCCCCTCATTGTATCATTGTTATACATTGATTTGTACAATTTTAATAGGGAGCTGAGGTATATTATATAGTATTTCAGAATAACCTCAACTATAGCAGGAGTTGTATATCACGAGTAAATAGATTACTGGATACCATAGTAAATAGATACCTTTGGTCCCGGTCACACGGGCAGGAAACCGCGGGGGGGAAGTGTGGCAGTTTGCCCCGGGGCAAACTAAGGCGCGGTTACCTGATCAGACCTCCCGTGGAGGTACTGTGGAGGTTCCGTGGGAAAGGAGAGGTGCCGATCGCAGGACAATCCCACGCGCAAAAACGAAGTGCGCGGTGCGGCAAACTGGAAGGTTTTTTTTTGTTTACACCATGACTGCGCATGCTCCGTTGTGTGCTTTTGCGCATCCACAAAGACTTGAAGGAAAAAAAAACTTTTTCGCCAGGGAACATGGGCGGGCGCCGGATGCCACCGGAAACGCGATCAGACGCCCGCCCTTGCCCCGCGGTTTCCGTAAACTAGTACCTCGGAGGTACTAGTTTTTTGCCGCGTGGTTTCGGCAGGAAGCCTCGTTTGAGCCACGGGAGTGCTACACTTCCCAGATGTGCCGGTGAGATCGCGCCTGGAAAACCCGCATGTCTTCCGTCTGACTCGCATGGCTAATGTTCCGTGTGACCGCAGCCATAGTATCTTTTCCTTGATACGCAAATAAAGAAAGCCCTGCAACTACTAATTTCAAGTTGGCCTCTGCAATGCTCTGTATTCCAAGGTAGTATTCCAAACATCCAGGTAGACCATTCACTCAAGTCAGCAAGGGCTTCTGCAGGTGCCAAGTGCCAACCTGCAGATGGGGGAAACCAACAACTGCCTGAACGTGTGCTTTTTCTGTTGTGGCTCCCGCCTTGTGGTGTGGTTTGCCTGAAAAGGTCAGGAAAGCTCCCACTTTCCTGGCTTTCCACAAACTGTGCAAAAACGAACTGTTCAAAAGATCTTTTCTACACCAGTAATAGGGTTGCCCTGTACAAACTTGCTTGGATAAATGACTAAGGACTGAGATCTATACTGCAATCTATACTTACTGTAAGTAGGATCCTATTTATGTAATTCTGTATCATTTGCTGTGTTACGTGAAGACTTATGCTATGCTTCATTCTCTCTAGTGGTTCCAGACTTCTACAATCCTAATGCATTGGTTATTGAATGTCCTGTTTTGTCGATTGTACTGACTCTCTATGTGTCATCTGCCATGGGTCCCTGTGAGAAAAGGCAGACTATAAATATGTAAATGATTTTTTTTTTTAAAAACTGGCCTCATTGTAGCCCAAGGGTATGATTAAGTAAATTTCATGAATAACCTTCTAATGTATATGCAATGCTTCCAATAGGAACAAGAGACTGAAGGTCTCCAAACCTGGGCTAAACGTGTCCATGAACTTGAAGCCACAGTATCTCTTCTACAAAAAGAACTAGATGAAAGCAAGAAGTTTCTTAATGTGGACGATTTTAAACATCGAAAATCCAAGAAGGGGTTTTTTTCAAATCTTAAGTATACAGTAGCTGAGGTTCCTAAAACAAACAGCAAAGACTCAGAAAAACTTAATTGGTCGCCTACAGTGATGTGTAAGCAAACAGTGCATAAAGTAAAAGAATCGCTTCAGTCTTTTTAGGTGTGTTTGTCACTACAGAGGCTAACAAGACATTAAATTGCGGGGGGGGGGGTAATCATGGAAGATCACAGGAGAAAAACAATGAAGGCAGGCTAAATGTCACTATAACTTGAAGAGAAACAATTTTACCTCTCTGTTCTTTAGATAGGAAAACCGTATTGCTATGTATTTAGCTTTTTTGGCAGTATATAAATTGCAGCAGGTTCTCTGCACCTATATTATTTGAGAGACTTGGCATCAAGAATAGGAGAGTACTTTTTAACACACCCCCCTTTTGCAAACCTTACATGGATGAGTTTTAAGAAATGAAGCTGACATTCAGATTTATATCTTGATTTCATGACTAATACAAGCATGTTGAAAAGGTTAAATTCAAGGTTGAAGGTTGAAAAGGTTAAATTCAATGACTGAACATTTTTTGTCTGTATGAAGGAATGTGTCAAAATCCTTTCTTATATACTTACTAATAAATATTTTCCAGTTTTTTACCTGATCAGTCTGTTCCTAGGATGTAAATACAAAGTTGAGATTTGTGTATCAGTGAATGTATGATCCCCAATTCTTCTATCAAGTTTTTGGCTTATATTTAGTATACGAGTCCTAAGTAACACTATATAATCAAAAGATCTTCTGAAGATTTTACCTCTGTTTCCCTTCTTTTTCACATTTTCATAGTTAATCCTTTAGGAAGTCTAAAGGTGACCTTGGAAGACTAAAGAATGAGAACTAATCATTGAGTGTGAGTGGGTCCTAGACACCAAACTCTACCAGCTTGCCACAAACAGTAGCTCTGTTCACAAGTTAATGAATGTGCATACAGTCCATGTATGGTGTGTCTTTTCTTTATACATGCATTGAGCAATTCTCACATTACATTTGACACATACAGCAGAATGCATTGAAACCCCCACATTTACCCAGGCACCAGCCCCCAGTTTCATTGATAAAATGAATGCACACTTTCTAACGAACAGGGGTACACACACCTGTAGGCTGTAGATGTGTTCATTGTAAAAAGTGAACAGGGCTACTATCTCCTACAATCAAGGACCCCCTAACCTGCCTCACTCGTGACCAAGCCCTGGCTGAAGAGACAATGACTGTTAACTTGTTTTTTGCTCTGACTTCTTCCTCCAATCTGCTTTCTGTTTTCTAAGATTTCTGCTGGTTGTTACTGACTCACTGCACATTCCAAGCAACATTTAAAGAAAATTGGTAGGTGGCAGAGAAAGGGTAGGACTTTGACCTGTCAGTCACAAGATTGCTATAATAAAGTCACAGAAGACAAATCTATCAATGGTTAATAGTCATGACAGTTAAATTGGGTGTCCCTGTTCAGTTGCAGTTGGCTCACTCTCTCTCTCTCTCTGTGTGTGTATGAATGAGAGCAGGACATGGACAATGGAGAGGGCTATCTAGCAGGAGCAGTTTTATGTTGTTGAAACAATAACCCTGTTTCTCTCATTGTCTTTCAAGAAAAATCTTTCTATCATTTATTTGCTCATTATTACAGGAGGGAAAGAAAATGGCAGAATGCAAACAGCTGCATTTGTGCCTCAACAATGAGTTTCTTTTTATTTTTTAAAAAATCTGTGCCAACATGCCATTCCACCCAATGCATGGCCCCCACAGTGGTAAACATTAAAACATTCCAAACATTAAAACAGCATTTAAAATACAAATATATAAATATAAAACAAATAAAACATGTATAAACGCACAAGGGGAGGACTAATAAGAGTTAAAGAACACCAAGACAAAGAAAGTCTTCACTTGCTGGCAGAACACAACAATAGATGGAGACAGACAAAGCTCCCTGGAAAGGAGATCCAAAAATTTTGACATCACAACGAAGACCTTTTTCATGAGTTGCCTGTCTAGCGAGACCACTGAAGATGACTGGAGCAGTTAGATAGGTTCATATGAGAGTAGTAGGTTCCTGTTATGCTGCTATTCTCAATAGTTGCTGTGCTTTTACTTTCTGTTATAGAAATGAACAAGTGTTGGCCCGCAATACTCATGGAGGGATTTCCCTCTCACTTTCTTGCCAGGCCCATTCCTAGCGCAACTCCCAGGCTTGCATCTCTGCCACCAGCAGGCCTCGTGTGACTCCCAGGTTGCAGCCCTGCAGCAGCATGCCCAGTGTGGCTTCCGGACTGTGCCACTGGCAACACGCTGAGCCCAACTCCTAGGTTGTGGGGCTCCTGCCAGCCCAAAACAGAGCCCTGGACTGCCGGCTGTGTGGCTGTTGCTGGACCCAGTGCAGAGATTTGGTCTGTGCCTCCACTGCCCCCTGTGTATTTTGGAAATGTTCATATTTTTCTGCAAACCCGGGGAGTCCCCCAAGTTTGCTGAAAAATCTGTTTAGTGTCTGTGTGGCACCACTACATGGATTTAAACCAGCTGCAGATGGGGACCACATGTCACTAATGGTATATAGTAATCAAATGGTTTGAACACTCAAGGAGAACAGTGGAGCTAATATCAGAGAGGAGATGCATCCACCACCCTTTTTATGTGATCGCCAGCATTTTTTCTTATTTTTTCACCAACTGCTGTTTTAAACAAGAAGGTTAGTACAAATAATCTCTCATATCTCAGATCATAAAATGTATAATTGTTCTTATGATTCTTAATTCTAAATTTAGATATCAAAGGAAAAATAGCAATCAACATATTCAGAGGTGTTTTGTGCTATAAAATAATAGAGATGCCAAACCTTAAGTCTGGCCACCTTTTGAAAAAATAATATACTGGATGACAGTCCTTTCAGTAGAGGTAATGACTTTAAAAATTTTAAAGAATATGCAGCATTTTTTGTATGAACAAACTAAGCTACTGCTACACTAAAGAGATTATAGCTAACAGCAGGGGTCGTTTCGTAGAAAAAGAGCTAGGGGAACTCATTAGCATAACTCATTAGCATATGCCACACCCCCTGACATCACCGGAAGTGTGTCATAAGGCCACACCCCCTGACATCACCGGACATGTGTCATAAGGCCACACAGCCCGCCCCCAACAGTCCTGGCTGCCGCCGCCGGCCTTGCAGCTCCACTACCGAGCCCCATGAGGGGCCCGGCGGTGGACCTGCAAGGCCGGCAGGAGTGCAAGGAAACCCTGTGAAGGCCCTCCCTGACCCCAGGCAGGCAGGAGTGGGGAGAGGCAGGGAGGAAGCAACTTACCCTCCCTCTTCTCCTGCCTCCTCCTGGCTGAATGAGGACCGGAAGCGGGGCAGCCGGAAGCAGGGGGCGGGGCTTCGTCATGTGCCCCACCCCGCGTACCTCACCCGGGGGAACTGCGATCCCCCGCGAAATTACCTCTGGCTAACAGTATTGATCCAGTCTCCAGGTGTCCTTGCAAAGCTCTGGAGAGCTTGGCAGCCCGAAAGCCCTTTGTCTAGTGGGCCACAGGAGATGAGATTTGACCTTGCGTGTTCCGGTACGTGATTAATGTAATGTCACAGGCCTAAGTAGATCTGAGCTATGGCATCATTATGCATGGTTAGAAGCCACGAGGCAGATGCTTTTGGATCATAAATATAACCTGGAACAGTGGAGTGTTTGTTGGTATGTAAGGAAGTCTTAAGGTTTAAACCAATGAGACATTTTGAGAACATTTAGAAATGCATGGATTTCTGAATCCAGGTTAAGATTGTTATCAATCACCTTTAATTCCCAGAACTGTATAAGCTTACTTTCCCAGCCTGTGGAAACACTGGAGTAAAACTGGGAGAAAAGCTAGGACCATATATTCAACTCCTATGCTGCCTATTCCTTCAACCATAAATAGAGGACTGATAAAGAAAAAGAAAAGTGATTTATGTACTGAAGGCATGTTTGCACAGCTTGTTCAGGGCTTGGGCAACCTCTATCAAGACTATATGATATCAGGTTCTTTGTTAAAGACAGGTGGCAGGCAGCATATATACTATAGCCAAATGAAGAACAGATTATAAGATTATTGTGCTAAAAGGACAGTTATGGCTGAAGTGACAGCAACACTTTTAAATATTAAACAAAGTGAAGTTTTTACATTCATAGTATGGTTTCATCCATTAGGAAACCACCAATTAATCACCAATCCCTATCTTGTGTGTGCCTCTGCCTTCTGACGTTAGCCTAAGCTATATGAAATTTTCATCTTTTCTTTTACTATGCTACTGTTCTCTCAAATTGAATCATATAGCACATGCTGTTCCCGAAATTTCCCAGTTTGCATCTAGAATTTCTCATGTGTCAAAACTATTTACAGTAGCCTGATACTAGATCTATAAGGGATGATGATACAGTATATTTTGAAATATAGTTTGTTGCTAACTTTTGGCACGTTGCCCACCTCAGAGGTTCCACATCTAGATTTAGGATGAATATTACCAGCTTGCTACAACCATTCTTAGTCTGCAGAAAGTTTAGGGTTGTTAATTAGTTGGGGGAAGTATTCTTTGATGATTATTTGTTTTCAGTTAAATTATGTATGCTCAGTGCACAGGAAAGTTCCAGCTTGTCATGCTGGTTCTTAAATGTAGAGATTCCTTTATGTAGTTGAAACATGGCTGATCATGCTGTGAATATCTTCTGCCATCGAGGCTGACAGACTCGTACATTCAGTTTTTAAATTATTCAGAAGCTTTACTGAAAAGGCAAGCCACGTGAAAAACCACCAGCCCCTCTTGTAAAAAACTTAGCTCAGGTTCAGATGAGTAAATGCTTTTCAGACTTTGAAAAGCAAACAACTGAAAATTGAAGATGCCTTAAATTGTGCCACGTAGCACTTAGAAGCAGGTTCTCCATTTTATATAGACCTCACATTTAGCTTGCCAGAGAGCTTAAGTAGGGATGCCAGCCTCCAGGTGGGACCTGGGGATCCTCTGGAATTACAGCTCATCTCCAGACTACAGAGATCCGTTCCCATGGAGAAAATGGATGCTTTGAAGGGTGGGCTGTATGACATTGTACCCCAATGAGGTCCCCGTCCTCCCCAGGCTCTACCCCCAAATC